CACACCACACTTGACCAACTGATGTACACACCACATTTGATTCATTGGTCACACACTCGTGCTGGGCGTTGTGAGCCCATTTGGATGTGGCATCAGACAATAGAGGAGACCGTGGTGACGGGGTAAAAATCTCGCAGAGTTTTACAACATCCGGAGTTCTAAAGATGGCGGAAACGTGAACAATTTCCAGATTTTAATGAGCTGTCTGTTCAAGTCGCACGGAGCCATGGCACAACATGCCAGTCTGCATCTCCTGGCGCCACAAGATGTGCCAGGTTTTTTATTGCAGTAGGCACGCCTGTACGGGGGAGACAGTTTAACAGTTGTAAGCAACTCACGGCCCTGTCACCGTGCCAGACCCGAGCCAGTCACATGCTGGTTTCACGTGCGGCCCAGGCTCGGACTAAAAGGATCCTCAGAAATCTTAGATTAGAAAACACGAACGGGGTTTCCCGTAAAACAACACCCGGAAACACACGTTCCTGTTTCACAAAACATTTCTAGGAAACAATTTCAGACAAGTTCCAGAGACGTAAAGCTTTTGATAAGTTACAGAGACTAAAAATGTCAGACACTTTCCAAAGACTGACCAATTAATTAATTATTATTATTATTTTAAATTATTGATTTATTTTATTTTGTTTATTATTTATTTATCTCTCCTCATTTTCTCCGTATATTTTACTTTCTCATATACCGAGTATAGAGGAAATATTGTAATCGTGCACAAAAATCACATGAAATTTTGACAGTTTTCACCGTTTTACACCTCAGTACTTCATCATATACTAAGTATAGGAGACTTATTTTAATCGAAAAAAAAAATTAAATCCAGGTTTATCAAAATTTAGGCGTTTTATGCGTAATCGAGTCGGAAAAACTGGGCTTTGCAATTCTGTCCGTATGTCTGTGTGTGTATGTGTGTCTTTGAACACGATAACTTGAGTACTGTTACAGCTAGGTTGATGGAATTTCATATATGAGTTTTATGTCAAATTTGTAGTTCTGTATCAACTGTTCAGCGATTTCCGGTAACCGGAAGTGGGACTTATACTACTTTCAATTTTTCAAAAGCCCATAACTTAAGTACTGTTTCAGATCGGTAAATGAAATTTTACAAGTAAGTAAAAGATCTAATTCTCCACCTTTTTGCAAATTTTGAATAATTTTCGTTGACCGGAAGTAGTAATTTACGCTATTTCCGATTTCTCGAGAAAATAAAAAGGATTTATAAAGTACTAATAATCAGCACTATTGTACAGATATTGTTTGTCGTACACTTCGTGCGCAATTCTTTTTCTCTCGAAGATCATATTCTATTTTTAGCAGTTTAAGTAATTAAAAATGGATTAAAATCATGTCTAAATCTCGATCTACCATCCCCCGTAGTGTTATATAATAATACGACCCGACCCGCGGCGTATCATACGCCGCTATTTAGTTGTTTTATTTTCTACTTTTCAGTAATTCAAAATTTGTGAATTGGACAGTACCAATGCTGTCACTGGAAATATTTGCTTTAAAACACTATCAGTAGGCCGTTCAGGACGATAACCCCCCCACCCCCTACTTTCCCCCAACCCCTACCCCCCCCCCCCCCCCCCGCCGTGAAAGCAGCCTCCTCTTTATAGCTACCTCCCCTGAGTTTAAAATGGTTTCAAACTAAATTATCTGCCCCTAATAGCCGTCACTAAACCCGGCTCTACGATTGTAAACATTTAGCGTGAACCTCAGCTCACCAAACTTCCTAGAGAGGAAGAGAGGGGACTGCAGGGCGCGCTTACAGCTTGGTGTTTTCTAACGCCTCCAAGAAGAGAATTATATATAGATTCGAGAAAGTTTAGGGGAGATAACTCCCGCTTTATTTTGTATAACAGAAGAGACGGCACTTCCAGGGTTATAGACATGTTTTTTAGTTAGTTTTTATAAGATCAGAAATCGAAACTGCCGAGCAAAATTTTGAGCACTTTTAGCTGACCCATTCTCTTCAAACTTGACGTGTGTCAAGATCCGATGACTTTGCAATCTGACATCAACTTTGACTTAATTGGGAGCATAATTAATTTTTTATGAATTAATTAAAATTTTCTAAATAAAGCAGGGTGCTTACTATTATTCCGCACTATTATACGCGCATTTTCATATTCATTTGGTGCCCAATTGTTTTAAGTCATGGAATTATTGCATTAAAAGTTTTAAAGTATTGAAAAAATGCATTAAAAATTACATAAAAACCGTTTTAATAACAAACATTTATGTAATAACGCTTTAAAAAAATGATTTTCTTAAAATATATCTCTATCCATGGGTACCAGTTTCACATGAAATCAAATTTGAATAAAATAGCTCATTTCTTCATATTCTAAAATTGGAAGATGACACCATTAGTGTTGTGTAACATCAAATCATACATAAATAGTGTGTATTTAAATATGTCCTATTGTTTCCTAGGTTCGACAGGTGAGTAGTCGAATATATAAAGTTGAATTCTGTATGTGACCGCGGACAGCCAGCGGGCCCGTGATTACAAAGGAATAGAGCAAAAAAAAAAAACTTAATCGCCAAAGTGTGATTCATCTAAATCAGGGGTCTCCAAACTTTTCAGCCCGAGGGCCGCGTATTAACTATCAAATATCAGCCCAAGGGCCGCATTAACTATCAAATATCAGTTCGCGGGCCAGAGTTTCTTCAAGGCATCTCTTCGGGGTGGTGGCGCCCCCCCCCCCCGGATGAGAGGACCTCGCGGGCCGCATTCGGCCCGTGGGTCGTAGTTTAGAGACCCCTGTATTAGAGGGTAGAACACCCACTCCTAATGAACCCCCCCCCCCCCCCCAAATGATAGATGCCCCGTTCATTTTCAGCTATTGGCGACGGTGTGATCAAATTGTGAATAGTTTACAAACTCAAAACGCATCCCTGATCGACAGGTGGTTTACCCAACTACATCATGACAACACTACTGGAGTATCATTAGATACATTTTAATAATGCAATAACGAATGGCAATTTGTTTAAGTTTCTGAGAGGCAAATATTGTAGAAAACTCCTATATGAAATATGTGTAATCGTGAGTATTGGAGGATACAGGTAACGGATGAAGGTATTATGGATGGAAAACAATATTGGTTCTATGATAAGGGTACGAAAAGCTGTTGTTGTCTGTATGTCTTATATGTACAAAGATTTCGGCATTTGACTAATACATCGAGGTGTTATTGGAGATGCGCATGATAATTGAATTATGGATTAAATACAGAATATTGATAATAATTAAACAAAATTAATCTACAGTAATGCTTTATTCAGAAATTCAATCATTGTTCTCACAAGGTGTAGTTTAATGAATAAAAATATCACCCAATCCCATCTTATATACTTAAAATATCACATTGCAAATAAATAAAACCAATGATTACTTTAGCTTGTGAAAAAAGGAAATTTAAAAAAAAAAATTCCCCCAAAAATTTCGTTTAGTTACCAAAAACAGTAAAAACAATTCTTCGAATTTGCAAAAATATGTATTTAAAAAATCCCTCAACCTTTAAGATGTCTCATTTTTTACACCACAGCATATTAAAATATTAAAACATTGTTATCTCTAGTTTAGGAGATTTTACATCGATACTACAACCTATACACATTGATCATGGGACCAGGGGATCGTGGGCTCACTTTACGCTAAGAAATAATTCAGTGCGGTTAAGTTGTTCGTTCGGGTTGGGGCGCACATTGTATTTATTGTGCAGTGTTTTTCGTCTTCTTTAGACATCATGATGTTGGCTATGTAGAATTAAGTCTCCTCTAGTTTTTAACATCATGATGTTGGCTCTGTAGTTTTACGACTCCTCTAGTTTTTAACATCATGATGTTGGCTCTGTAGTTTTACGTCTCCTCTAGTTTTTAACATCATGATGTTGGCTCTGTAGTTTTACGACTCCTCTAGTTTTTAACATCATGATGTTGGCTCTGTAGTTTTACGACTCCTCTAGTTTTTAACATCATGATGTTGGCTCTGTAGTTTTACGTCTCCTCTAGTTTTTAACGTCATGATGTTGGCTCTGTAGTTTTACGTCTCCTCTAGTTTTTAACATCATGATGTTGGCTCTGTAGTTTTACGTCTCCTCTAGTTTTTAACATCATGATGTTGGCTCTGTAGTTTTACGTCTCCTCTAGTTTTTAACATCATGATGTTGGCTCCATAGTTTTACGTCTCCTCTAGTTTTTAACATCATGATGTTAGCTCCATAGTTTTACGTCTCCTCTAGTTTTTAACATCATGATGTTGGCTCTACTTTTAAAACTTTTTCCTATTCTTAAATTGAATTAGCAGCAAGAACTTTTCTCTCTTGTGTTTATTTTTGTCGCCAGAGCACATTCGTCCCACCTAAAAACTCGGGCTAATCAAACGAGCTGTTGACGCAATTAGGTTCATTAAGTTGGTGTCAGTTTCGTCATCACCTATCCCTCATCACACACTGTCACACACCACCCATTACACACCCCACACCGTGTACTACGCAATTTTATGACTTATACAATTGCCGTCCCAAATATGACTTATATACTTGCCGTCCTCAATATGACTTATATACTTGCCGTCCTAAATATGACTTATACACATGCAGCCCCAAAAAGTAAGGTGGGGTGGGTGTGTGAGTGACTGTGTGTGTGTGTTTGTGTGAGAGCGTGTGTGTCCACACCGCCCGTGACATCTGGGCTGGTTGAGATATCCATCACCTTTGGTTGCCACTGAGCTAACAGCATCACTCAGCAATAATAATGGCAGCTGTCAAACTAGTGTTGACTTTTGACTAAAGCGAGCTGGCTGCCTGTGTTTTATATCTTCTGCTTCAATTTCGCTGTTTCAATCAGCTGTGTCAACAGGATATTCGACTGTCGCGCGCTAGCGCGATAATAGCGTAGCGCGGGAGTGGGAGAGAAACCTGTCCGCGGCTGGTCGTGTGGGAGCCATGTCCTTCCTGCTCCCTGCCCACACGGGCAGCTAGTGACGGGGAGGATCAGTCCACGGCTTGTGGGTATATAAGTCTGGAGCCCACACACGCGCATGGTGCAGACAGTGGATAGCGCGTTAGAATTTTTTGGACTTTATCAACAAGTAGTTTTCAACTTTCGACATTTGAAAAGCAGTTTCAAAATTTCAAGATTTTTTAGACATTAAGAGCTTCCCGTTGAACATGCGCTCGTGCAACCATTTCTCCCTCCATGCCTTGTGTGCCCAGCTCATTCAGGTCGTTTTGGTCGTGTCTTTTCTTCTCTGCTCCACGTCTGCAGGGTCCAGTGATTCGATCGTCAAGTCTTCATCTGCATCCAATAGCCGACATAAGCGGGCCCCAGGGTGGGGCAAGAGGACCAGTCCAGGGGACGAGTATTTGGATGAGCCTGACCACTCCCAGGAGGTGTTTGAACTCAGTGCAGACATGAAGAGGGCCCCGGGGTGGGGCAAGAGGAGCAGTACAGCCGTCGATGGCGAGGCGTCGGCTGAGAAAAGGGCCCCGGGCTGGGGCAAGCGGGGCCAGGAGGTGGACATGGACGACGATAGCATGGACCAAGATAAGAGGGCGCCAGGCTGGGGCAAGCGTGCCCCCGGATGGGGAAAGCGTGCACCCGGATGGGGAAAACGTGCCCCCGGATGGGGCAAACGTGCCCCCGGATGGGGCAAAAGATCTTCAGACAGTCAGACACTAGAACGTGTCCTGGATGAGTATCTGGCCAGAGAACTGGAGGTAAGACACGCTTCACTCAGGGGTGGGGGGGGGGGGGGGTAGATGTGTTATTAGCCTTCACAATCTTTCACGTCACATTATGTCATACCTAGGCTAGTTGTTAAGTCCAGATCAAAGTTATATCTAGTATGTGAAGTCCAGAGCAATGTTATATGTAGTTTGTGAATTCTACGACTGGTTGTCTTTTGACTGATATTCATAGCGTGTCGAAAATACCCAAAGTAATGTCAGAATCAATTAAACTGAAAATAAATTAGACGATCATTCAATATTTAGACGGCCAATCAATATTTAGACGGCCGTATAATATTCTATAGTCTATATCGAACTAATTTATCAAAAGCGGGCTCTAATAAACACAGCCTCACCCAGTGAATGCATGGGCAATTAAAGCCAATCAAATGTTCTTTAAATAAGCTTTTATTTAACTTGCTGCCATTGTTGTCATACATCAAATCTGCCGAGCAAAATTGCGAGCACTTTTTATTGACCAATTTGTTTCAAACTTGACGTGGGTCAAGACCCGATGAAAATGAAATCTGATGTTAAATTTGATTTTATTGGATGCCTTATTAATTTTTTTATTAATTATTTAATTATTTCTTAAATTAATAGGGTGTTCTACAATTATTCCGCCATACGATCCCCTAAACTTTCTCGAATATTTTTATATAACACTACAGGAGATGGCAACTGGGGTTATAGACATGATTTTTAATCCATTTTTAATTACTTAAACTTTTCAAAATAGAATAGAATCTCGTAGAAAAAAGAATTGCGCACCAAACAATATGTTTAATTGTGCGGAGTATTATTTGTACTTTATAAATGCACATGCTTGTTTGAGAAATGGAAAATAGCGTAAATTACTACTTCTGGTGAACGGAAATTACTCAACATTTGACAAAAGGCAGATAAATAAATCTTTTACTTACATGTGAAATTTCATTTATCTATCTTAAACACTACTCAAGTTATACGCTTTTGAATAATATAAAGTAGAATAAGTCCACTAGCGGTTATCGGAAAACGCTGAAAAGTTGATACAGAACTACAAATTAGATATAATACTTAAAAATGAAATTTCATCTAACCTAGCTGTAACGGTACTCAAGTTATCGTGTGCACAGACACACATACAAACACATGCATACACACATACACACAGATATACGGACAAAATGGCAAAACTATATTTTTTCCGACTCAGGGAGGTGTGAAACGTCTTTTTGTTTGCACTATTGCAATTCGTCCTCTATACTTCGTATACGAGAAAGTAAAAAGCATAAACACGTTTTGATAAGTAGCTTCTACATAATGCTGAACTTAAAAGAAGAAAATAAATGGTTTCCTTTTATATAAAATTATATTTTAATATTTAAATAACTATAAAGAAAAGTTTGGGTCATTTCCTAAACATTAGTGAAGGTATCCAATAGGGGATATAGTGACCCACGCTTTTCTTTATAGTTTTTCAAATAGTAGTGTATTATTATATACTAGCGATCGGTTTCCGTTACACGTGAATTATAGGCCTATATTTTTTAAATGTTATACTGATTTGAGAAATACATTTTATAAAACTGTTATTGGTCAAAAAGCGATGTGCTTTACTACACGTTGAACGATGTTAGTGACAAAGCAAAGACATAACTAAATAGCTAAACATCCAAAACATTTAATATAAAATGGGCTACCAATATAATATATAAAAAATTAAACCCAAATAATATACATTATTAGTCAACACAACACCATATTAAATGCACAGACTGATTAAGTGACTTAAATGATTCAGTTAAAAAAAGGTTATTCAATGGTATTTGTTGTTTTTTAAACTAATTTATTTATATATTTTTTTGGCTGAGAAAACTGTATAAATTTCATAGCATAGGCCTACGTCTTTTTAGCATAGTTATTTAAATAGTAGTGTATAATTTATTTTATACTTTTTAGTGCATTTTTACATAAAAGCTTTTTATTAAAACATTTTTTATGAAAAAAAATTCAGTACTTTAAATTTTTAAAATTTTCAATATACTTGCATGACTAAAAACCATTGCGCACCTAATGAACGCGATGACGCGTGTCTAATAGTGCGGAATTGTTTGATGAAACACCCTACTAATTTGGACAACATTTTAATTCATTCATAAAAAAAATAATCAGGCAACCAATGAAGTCAAATCTAATGTCATGTTGCGTGTCTTCATGTTTAGACATACGTACCTACTACGAACCGTATCTGTCAGTTAGAAGTGCCTACAATTTCGCTCGGTCGTTTCGATCAAGCCAGACTGACGCCTGGCGACATACGGACGAGGAAGTCAGTTAAATAAAAGCTTGTAAAAAAATTTCATAGAAAACGTTTTAATAACTTTTATGTAATAATTCACTAAAAAGGAGAAAATAAATTATAGACTACTATTTAAATAACTATAAAGAAAAGCGTGGGTCACTTTAGTATTTACTAGACTACCCCTAATCTAGTTAGATAACTGTGGGTTTCGGGGGGTCATCCATAAATGATATCACGTCTGCCAGCAGTTATCATCCCAAAATAACCAGAACCCACATTCAAAAAGACGTTTTTTTATACTTTAAAAACTCTACTAAACTCTACTTCACCTGCCCCGTGCCCCACCAAGTCTCAGACATGTTTGTATTTAAAAAAAAAACGATTCCGGCCGAGCATGGCCCTGACCACACTATCCCTTCATATGCTGAGAACATAGAAACAGGTGAACTCTACTTCACCTGCACTGTGCCCCGCGAGGTCATGATAGTCAACCTTTTTTATCATTCACATATAGGCCTTAAAAAAATAATTGAAAACATTGTTGTAAAAAATTCTTCTTAAATTAATATTACTAAACTCATTGTTCTAAACTTTTATAATTAATGTGGTTTATCTACCAATGAATATATCAATAAATTAATTAAGGGCTTTAAATTAGTTTGTATTTAAGGGGATATGCTATGTTTTTTTCTATTTTTTACAGTTTAAGATCTAAAGCCTTTTGAATACTTTTATCATATTTGGCATATAAAAGTAAGTATTAAACAGCAAAAAAAAAAGTCGAAAACAATTTTGGTTGTCATGGAAACCCAAAAAACCTCCGCCATTTTGAATTTTTCGGTACTTTTAAAAATACTAAGGCTTTTTTATTTATGCACCTATAGCAATCAAATTTAAACTGCTTATATTTCAGCATATATTAAAACTTTTGTCACGACAACTTTTTGAAATAATTATTAGTAAGAATTTTACAAGGTCTAAAAAATCGTACCCTTTTTAGTATTCAAAAGTTTCAAAATTTGCATATTAATTACCAAATACTTTTTTTCTATGAAAGAAATCACAATTCCCTCGTGACAAAAGTTGTATTTTTGCATTAAGAACAATTACTGAAAATATGGTTGGCATTGTTTAATAAATAAAAAAGTAGTAGGCTTTTTAGTGTTAAAAACATGCAAACTGAGAAAAACAGCCAAAAGTAACGAAAACTAGGTCAGGAAAGTACCATATCTGTGTAAACTACAAAGCCGATTGTAAGCTTTGGGTGTTTCCGAGATGTAGGAAATTAAGTTTATTAGATACATGAGAAATCCAGCTTTCCAATGATGTCAAATACAATATAATGAAGGATATAAAACTTTTCATAGAGAGCTTGTAAGATTGGGAAAAATTGATTATTTTTTAATTAATAGGGTAATAAAAATCGTAATTCAAACACATAGAATATTTTTTTCCCTTTGAAGTTATTATTTTCTTTATACAAAAATGGACAAAGTATCCAAAAGTGCAAGAAACCGATCATGACCAAAAACAAGAAATTTTCTGATTTTTTTCCGCGCATATCCCCTTAACAGTGTGTTTAAGAAAGAACAATATTTACCCCCAAAATCCTATTTTACAGATCTATACATAATGCAGATTCTCCCCAATAACAAATCAAAAAAACAAAAAAAAAACAAACAAAAAATTGAGTTATCAAACGTCACTATTCAGTCAAAGTTAAGCCATTGTTCTAAAACTATAAAATTAATGTGGTTAATCTACCTATGAATAAATCAATATATTAATTAACGTCTTTAAATAAATTTGTGATTAACAGTCTGTCTGCAATCAAAAATTGTTCTCTACCTACATACTATTTTACAGCCCCCCATATAGAGCAATTTCCTTACAGTACCAAATCAGACAAACAAACAAATATTCAAACATGTAAACAAACTTTAGTTTTATTAGTATATAGATTAGATACTTTTACTAATATTTAGGAAGAAACCCACGCTTTTCTTTATGGTTATTGAAATAGTAGTCAATAATTTATTTTCTCTTTTTTAGTGCATTATTAAACAAAAGCTTGTTATTAAAATGTTTTTTATTACAAGCTTTTATTTAACTCACTTCCTCGTCAGTCGTCAGTCTGTCCAGATCGAAACGCCCGAGCAAAATTGCGGGCACTTCTACCTGACAGATACGGTTCGTAGTTGGTACGTGGTTCAAGACATAGAAATGATTTTTAATCGATTTTTAATTATGCCTATTTAAACTTTTAAAAATAGAATACCGTAGAAAAAAAAATTGCGCACCAAGTTAAACAGCAAACAGTGCGGATAATCCTAATATATAAAAGCCCATGTGCGCACTTCTGTCTCTCTCTCTCACTCTCTCTCTCTCTTTTTCCGCAAAAATTTTCACAGGCTATATCAGTGTCTTTAGCGATATATGGAGAACTTAAAGATACGGACTTTTCTTAAAAATATTATGTAAGATGTTTTAAATGTATAAACTAAATTTTATTTAAAGAAGAAAAATAAAAATAAAGGCATATTCGAATGTAGAAAAACATTTTTAATTATGCAACCAAAAAAGTATTTATAGTTGTGACAAGAACGCAATAAACAATGACGTCACATACCACATGTTTACACTAGGGAAAGAACACAACACTAACGGCGTCATCTTCCGATTTTAGAATATAAAGAAATGA